CCCCGCGCCCGGCCCCCGATCCCCGCGCCACGGCCCGCGCCATGGGGCTCTGGCTACCGCCGCCCCCCGCGCCGCCAGGCTAGGGCGATGTGGGAGCCCCCGGACCGCGGCCCCCGCGGGCACCATGAGCCCCCTACTCCGCCGCCTGCTGCTCGCCGCGCTGCTGCAGCTGGCGGGCGCCCAGGTACGTGCGTCCCCAACATCCCGCCCGCCGGCCGTGCCCTCTCAAGGTTGGCGGAAGTGGGGAGGCGACCTCGGCGAGGGGATCCGCGGGTCCGGCCTCCAACTGGGGCATCGCGGACATCCCCCCTCCCCCCGGGGTGCCCCTCTGCGCAGGCCCGCCAGTCCAGCCCCGGGGCCACTCCCTCGCTCCACCCATCCCCTGGGCGCCTCGAGGGGCGGAGCTGCCTCAAGTGTCCCCAGGACCTCGTTCACAGCCCTCAGTGCCTGCTCCTGACCCGAACAAGCCCAGCTTCAAGGCTTAGGAGTTTGATGCCACTCGCAGAGTGTGCCCGGTGGGTGAGTCTTGGGCCAGAGAAAGTACCAGGTGGCAGAGAGGAGGCGTAAAGAGTCGAGGTCCTGGAAACAGAACAGTCTGGAAAGATGTCAAGAGAAGAGGTGAAGTCCGACTCAAGGGCAGAGCCCTGGCCTAGCCACAGGGCTTCTAGAGTGCACCTTGGGTCCCCTTCTCTTCTCTTCCACAGGCCCCTGTCTCCCAGCTTGATGCCCCTGATCACCAGAAGAAAGGTAACAGTTAATAATTTGACACAGAAAGTTTGGCAGGTCCTAGTTTTCTTTGCTTCATCTTGTGTGATTCCAACACCCCGGACGATGCCATTTCACAGGGAAACTGAGTCAGAGGGCTTAATGGTTTCTTGAGAAGCAGGGCTGGGGATGATAGGTTGAGAGGAGGGGTTGGGAGTGGAGGTGACAGGGGACCAGGGAGGCTAGAGGCTCCACACAGCTCCCAGAGAGAACTTAGTGCTTTGGGGTCTGCTCCCTAGTGGTGTCTTGGATGGACGTCTATACCCGTGCTACCTGCCAGCCCAGGGAGGTGGTGGTGCCTCTGAGCATGGAGCTCATGGGCAGCGTGGCCAAACAACTGGTGCCCAGCTGTGTGACCGTGCAACGCTGTGGTGGCTGCTGCCCTGACGACGGCCTGGAATGTGTGCCCACTGGGCAGCACCAAGTCCGAATGCAGGTACCGGAGCTCATAGGTCGGGTGGCTTGAGGGGACAGTAGTGCTCTGGGGTCTGGGTCAGCCCAGAGACAGGGACTACTGGAGGATCCATTTTTCCTTTAGCCCGTTTCTCTTTCTACTGTCCTCTCCCATTCACCGTCTCTCCTTTCTCCTGAGCACAGATCCTCATGATCCAGTACCCAAGCAGTCAGCTGGGGGAGATGTCCTTGGAAGAACACAGCCAATGTGAATGCAGGTGCCAACCAGGTCTAACTTGTGAGCTTGCCCAGTGGAGCATGGGGTGGGGGTGTCAGGCCTGGGGTTGCACCACAATAGGGACCCCTTGTTTAAGAGTGGAGCCAGAGGTGGGTGTGGGTCTGGGGCAAGGGCGTGGGAGGCTTGGGTTTTCTGATCCTCTCTTTATCTCTCTCATTGTTCAGACCCAAACAAAAGGAAAGTGCTGTGAAGCCAAACAGGTGAGTTCCTTGGGCCCCTGCTGCTAGATAGCAGCCTGGCTAGAACACTTGGGTGGGTCAGAGGGTTAAGTGAGCCAGGAGGCTGTAGCTCCCTTTTCTCCTTCTCCTTTTCACCTGGCTCTCTTCTCTTTTGATATCCCCAAATTCAAGCACTCTGTCCCAACCCTAGCTCCTGGGAAGCCTCTTCCTTCCCACCCCAGACATGTCGTCGCTTCTCCTCCTAGGGCTGCCATACCCCACCACCGTCCCCAGCCCCGCTCTGTTCCGGGCTGGGATTCTGCCCCCGGAGCACCCTCCCCAGCTGACATCATCCATCCCACTCCAGCCCCAGGATCCTCTGCCCACGCTGCACCCAGCGCCGTCAGCGCCCTGACCCCCGGACCTGCCGCTGCCGCTGTAGACGCCGCAGCTTCCTCCGTTGCCAAGGGCGGGGCTTAGATCTCAACCCAGACACCTGCAGGTGAGGAGTCTTGGTGGGGGGCACGCACCTGTGTGGGAAGAAAGCAGGTCCAGGTGAGCCTGCCAATTAGGAGAAAGGCCAGGAAAAGGAAACAGCTGAGTGTGTTAAATAAACATTTATTGTGCATCTGCTGGCACTGGGATCAGCAGAAACACAGCTTGCATTCTGGTGTGTGGGTCAGACAGTGTGAGAGACCATGCTGCCGACAGAGAACTAGAGCACTATGGTGAGGCACCTGACCTCACCTCCGAGCATTCAGCCTGGAGAAGGTGGTGTCTGCCTGCAGTGGAACTAAAGAAGACCTTTTTCCAGTTTGCAGCATCCCAGGTCTTCCCAGAAGGCCTTGTGATAGACGTTGGCCACTGTATGGGCTCTGAGAGAGCAAGGATGTACTGGAGCCCATCTGCTCTTGTGTGCAAGTGCTTAAGAAGCACTGCTGTGCTCCACGGTGAGGCCATTGAGTGATGAGTGAGCCAGGCCCTGGAGGCCATCCCCTGCTACATAGAGCTTAAAGCCAACCTAGGACACATGAGACCTTGTTTTATTTTATTTATTTTTATTTTATGTGTATGAGTGTATTGCCTGCATGTATGTAAGTGTACCCAGGTTATGCAATGCCCATGAAGGTCAGAAGAGGACCCCCAACCCTCCTGAGTTGGGACAGGAGTTGGAACTGGAGTTGGGACAGTTGTTAGCTACCTAACAGTTGTTAGGTCCTCTGCAAGAACAGCCAGTGCTCCTAACCACTGAACCATCTCTCCAGCCTTGAGACCCTGCTTTTTTTTTGGGGGGGGGCCTTTTGGGACAGGGTTTCCCTGTAGCCCCAGCTGTCCTGGAACTCACTATGTAGACCAGGCTGGCCTTGAACTCACAGAAATCCGCCTGCCTCTGCCTCCCGAGTGCTGGGATTAAAGGCATGCACCCCCACGCCTGGCGAGACCCTGTTTTTAAAAAATAATAAATAAAAAATTAAGCCAGCATGATGGCACACGCCTTTAATCCCAGCACTTGGGAGGCAGAGGCAGGGAGATCTCTGTGACTTTGAGGTGAGCTTGGTCTACATAGTAAGTTCCAAGCCAGCTGGGGCTACAGGGAGATCCTGTCTTCAAAAAGACCAAAAAAACAAATAAAGATAAAATAAAAAATAAAGGAGCTGGGGCCAGGTATGGTGGTATACACCTGTAATCCCAACATTCAGGAGGTGGAGGCAGGAGGATTGTGATTGTTTGTTTTTTTGGTCTTTTTGAGACAGGGTCTCCCTGTAGCCCCATCTGGCCTGGAACTCACTATGCAGACCAGGCTAGCCTTGAACTCACAGAGATCCACCTGCCTCTGCCTCCCCAGCACTGGAAATAAAGGTGTGCGCCATCATGCCCAGCAAGGATTGCGATTTTTAAGGACAGTCTGGGTTATGTTACAAGACTGTCTCAGAAACCAAATAATTGTAATAAGAGAGCCTCAGGGTGTAGCTCAGTTGATAGAGTGCTTGCCTAGCATTCAGGAAGCCTTGGGTTTGATCTGTAGCATCAAATAAAACCAGGTGTGGTGACACTCAAAATCAGGGACATTCTTGGTGACACAGTGAGTTTGAGGCCAGCCTGGGCCACATGAGACGCTCTCAAAAATAAATAGGGAATGGGGAGATGGCTCGGTTGGTGAAGTGCCTGCTGTATAAGCATGAGGACCTGATTTGGAGCCCAGCATCCATATAAAGACCTAGAAATAGTGTATTGAACTTCCAGTGCCAGAGCAGAAACAGGAGTTCACTGGCCAGACAACCTAGTTTATTCACTGAGATAAACTAGGAGACCCTGTCTCAAAATATAAAGGTAGAGAGCTGGAGGTGACACAGCAGTTAACATCACTTGCTGCTCTTGCAGAAGACTGCAGTTCAGATCCTAGAACCTAGGTCAGGGGACTCATAACCTCTGTTAACTCCAGCTCCAGGGAATCTGCTGCCCTCTTCTGGCCTTTGTGGACACCTGCACATATGTGCCCATTCACACAGACGTGTAAACACATACACATCTAAATAAAATTAGTAAAATGGGGTGGAGGGATGGCTCAGTGGTTAAGAGCACTGGCTGCTCTTTTAGAGAACCTGGATTTGGTTCCCAGTATGCACATGGTGACTAACAACCATCCAGCCATGTAACTCCAGTTCCAGGAGATTTGATGCCCTCTTTTGGCCCCTGCAGATATTGCATGTATGTGGTATACTTACATGCATGTAGGCAAAACACTCATACACATAAAATAAAAAATTTAAAAATCAAGCCCAGTGTGGTGGCACATGCCTGTAGTCCCAGCACTCGGGAGGCAGAGGCAGGCAGATCTCTGTGAGTTCAAGGCCAGCCTGGTCTCCATAGCCAGTTGCTACAGGGAGACCCTGTCTCAAAAAAAAAATTTTTTTTTAAAAATCTAAATAGGAAGAAAAAAAATCCTTAAAAAGATAAAGGTGGAGGGGCTGGAGAGATGGCTCAGTGCTTAAGAACACGGTTCTTGCAGAAGACCGGGGTTTGAATCCCAGCACCCTCATGGCAGCTAACAACTGCCTTTAACTCCAGTTCCAGGGGATCCGATGACCTCTTCTGTCTTACCTACATGCAGGCAATATACTCATACACATTAAAAAAGAAAAAGAAAAAAAAAGATAAAGGTGGAAAAAGATTGAACCATGAGTACATATACCACACACACACAGAGGACACCCCACATAGAAAATTTATAAATAAACATAGAGCTTGGGGCTGAGCTCCAGCTAGCATTAACATCCCTTCTTCTCCTCTCCAGGTGCCGGAAGCTGCGAAAGTGACATGTTGCTTTTCAGACTCAGCCAGACACTCCCCTCACAGGCCCTATCCCAGTGGAAGAAGAGGGGAGCCCAGAACACCCCAGCCCAGGACCTCAGTCCTAGAGAAGCTGCCCCAAGGACCTTGTGCTCTTAGAGAGCTCAGTCTCCCAAAGCTGTCATCTAACAGTTTCCAAGGAACTTAATGGCAGTAAGAGGGGTCTTATCCCAGCTTAGGGGAAACAGGGTGCTGTTAACTACCCTGGGCAAGTGAGCATCTTCTGTTTGACTCCGCCTCCCTACTATGAAGAGTCCAAACTTTGACAAATAATGGCATTTGGGCTCTGTTATGATAACTGTGCCCCCCCCCCCCCACCCTGATAAAAGAGATAGAAGGAACTATCTTTGCTTGGGTCACTGTTTGCCACTGTCCAGGCTGGCTGACTTTCACAGGAATGTGTTGAACACTGCCTCCCAGTCCTGGAACTTGACTTACTCCTTACTGTGGGAGTGGGGCCACAGCAGCTCCCAGGCAAAGCCGCACTCATGGATTCCTCATATCCTTGTTACTGCAGGGCATGAAGTTCCTGTCCTCTGTTCACCACAAGGATTCTGCCTGCCATGGCCAGTCAAGTTGAGGTGGGACCCACACCTTGCTTCTCCCTGTTCACATGGAGAGCTCCTTGGGCTAAGGACAAATGTGTCTTCACACAGTAGAAGTTAACACTTTTCCCTGCTAGACACACTTCAAGTATTTTCACCATGTTGCTGAGCTCCAGAGCCACACCTGCCTTGTCAGTCCTGTTTTCTTGAAAGGGAAGTACCAGAGGTCTGTGGCTGGAGGGCCTGGTTTGAGACAAACTCTTCCTGTGTGATTACACAGTCTCTTCCACCTTCACCTCCCTGGCACCCCAGGATCCCTTCTCAGTTGCTGCTTGCTCGAGACTGCTAAACTGTCTGACCAAAGCTCAGTGCCCACCTTTCTCCCTGAAGCCTCTAGGGCCTAGGGCTGAGGGGCAAGGCCAGCCTGAGGCACCAGGGCTTTGGCTCTGCTGGAGGATAACATTAAAGGGCAGCGCTCACCTGAAGCAGTCACCACAATAGACTGGTTTGGAGAATATGATCATGATCTTGGTACCAAGGCAGGAGTGGGTAAACTGAAAGAATTCTGACAGTGACTGCCACATTTCGTTTGTTTGACAGGGTTTAATGTTGCCCAGGCTGGCCTCAACCTTTTTCTTTTTTTTTGTTTTTTTTTTGTTTTTGTCTTTTTGAGACAGGGTCTCCCTATAGCCCCAGCTGTCTGGAACTCTCTATGTAGACCAGGCTGGCCTTGAACTCACAGAGATCCACCTGCCTCTGCCTCCCAAGTGCTGGGATTAAAGGCGTGCGCCACCATGCCCAGGAAAACTTTTTTTTTAATATTTTATTTTTTGGTCTTTTTGAGATAGGGTCTTCCTGTAGCCCCAGCTGTCCTGGAACTCACTATGTAGACCAGTCTGGCCTTGAACTCAGAGATCCACCTGCCTCTGCCTCCCAAGTGCTGGGACTACAGGTGTGCACCACCATGCCTGGCAATATTTTATTATTTTTATGTATATTTGTGTATTGCCTGAATGTATGTGAGTGCACCCATGTCGTGCAATGCTGCGGAGGTCAGAAGAGGGTTTTGGATTCCCTTGGAACTGGAATTAAGGATGGTTTGTAGCTGCCATGTGGGTGTTGGGAATTGAACCCAGGTCCTCTATAAGAGCAGTCAGTGCTCTTAACCACTGAGCCATCTCTTCAGCCCCAGCAAAACTTTTTTAAAAACAAATATTTTTATGTATATAAATGTATTACCTGCATGTATGTAAGTGCACCGTATCATGCAATGCCCATAGAGGTCAGAAGTGGGGTGCTGGGAACCAAACCTGGGTCCTCTGCAAAAGCAGCCAATGCTCTTAACCATTGAGCCATCTCTCCAGCCCCTCAAATTTCTTATATAGCTGAGAATGATATAAATTTTTTTTTTTTTTTTGAAACAGGGTCTTTCCCTGTAGCCCCAGCTGGCCTGGAACTCCTATGTAGACCAGGCTAGCCTCTGCTCCTGACTGCTGGGATTAAAGGCATGTACCACTGCCTGGCAAGAATGATGTAAACGTTTAATCCTCCTGCCTCCACTTCTCCAGTGCTACAATTCCATGTGTGTTCCACCACACTTGGGCTTCCTGCATTCTAGACAAGTACTTTACCAATAGTTACATCTCCAGCCTTGTTTGTTACTTTTAAACATTTTTTAAAAATTTAAAAAAAATTTTTAAATTTTTATTTTATTTTTGTTTATTTATTTATTTTATTATTATTATTTTTTGGTCTGAGACAGGGTCTCCCTGTAGCCCCAGCTGTCTGGAACTCTATGTAGACTAGGCTGGCATTGAACTCACAGAGATTCACCTGCCTCTGCCTCCTGAGTGCTGGGATTAAAGTCATGCGCCACTACGCCCGGCTATTTTTTAAATAGTTTTATTATTTTTATTTTATGTGTACAAGTGTATTGCCTGCATGTATGTGAGTGCACCCGTGTCGTCAGAAGAGGGCATTGAATCCCCTAGAACTGGAGTTAAGAACGGTTTGTAGCCTCCATGTGGGTGCTGGGAATTGAACCCAGGTCCTCTGCAAGAGCAGTCAGTGCTCTTAACCACTGAGCCATCTCTCTAGCCCTACTTTTAAACGTTTTTAAAAAATTTTATTTTTATTTGATTTTGTGTGTACGAGTGTTATGCCTGCATGTAAGTGCACCCGGGTCGTGCAATGCCTACAGAGGACAGAAGAGGCTGTCAGATCCCCTGGAACTGGAGTTATAGACAGTTGTTAGGGTGCCATGTGGGTGCTGGGGTCAAACCTGGATCTTCTGCAAGAACAGTCAGTGTTCTTAACTGCTGAGCCATCTCTCCAGCCCCAACTTTTAAACATTTTTTAGACAAAGTCTTAGGTATCCCAGGGTGGCTCTTAACTCACTCATGTAGTATGACATGGGTGACCAAGTGTTGAGATTACAAGCATATGCCACCACACTTTATTTATTTAAACATATAACTCTCAGGGGTGATGTTGGTGATCTTGCACAGGATACCATGAGGGTTGTTAGAGCCTGTGAGCTAATGCCTCTGAGCCTACTTAGCACCATGGGACATGCAGGATCACCACCGTGATTGCCATCCTTTGGCAACTTGAGTCAGGGACCCAAAGGCAAACTGGCCTGAGGACAGACCCGTCTTTCTTCCTACCTAAACCAGGTTTAGCTGCCTGTCAACTTAAGGGTCTTACTTCCATGGACAGATGTCTACCGGTACTGGTGGGTGCTAGGAGGCCAGACCCAGTCAGGGCACTGCAGTCATGATTGTTCAGTGTGCCTCAAACAGGGACCTGGATGCTGCCAGCGAGAAGACTGGGGGTCCCAATTAGCCAGGGCGGGCCCAGCACAGCATCCAGTGCTACGGATACCCTATGGGATGGGTGCCGTCAAGTTTATCCCCCGGGCGACTGAATTTGCTCAAGGTCACCCAGCCAGCCTGGAATTGAAACACGGGGTGTCACCCCCGAAGCACTTTGCTCTTCCCGGATCATATGGATCATGGCGACGGGAGGAGCCAGCAGGATGCTGGGAAAGCGCCTGGGGATGACAGCGACTGACACCGCAAGAACCCCTCGGGGAACTCACTCTTGCTTGACCATAGTGTCACCTCAGCCGGAAGTGCCTTCGGAAGTCACTTTCACCAAACCTGACGGGTGACCCAGCCACCGGAAGTGATAGTCACATGGCCGCCTAGGGGGCGGGGCCAGGGAAGGAGCGGTCCCCGGGGCGTGCAGCAGCGGGTTTCGGACCGTCCAATGAGGGAGGGCGGCGTGGCCCGCCCTGTAGCGACAAGGACGCGCCTGCGCAGAGGCCGCAGCACGAGCGGGATTGGCTCCGGGGGCGCGGCGAGGAGGTGAGCGGGGGCCACAGCCCGGGCTGCGGGGTCGCCGGGGTGCAGGAGGCCAGGCTGGATCAGGCCGGAGCGAAACGGGCTGGGCATCCGCGAGCCAACCGGGGATAGGTGACGAGGGAATTGGGGCTGGGGTCGCAGTGTCTGGAGATGCCGCAGGGGGAGGGGTCTCACGCCGCACGGGGCGGAGCCCTCGGGGCGGGACGCGGAACGGGTGCGATCTCCGAGCCAGTGCTGGTGGAAGGCGGAGCCCGGCGCTCAGGGACGGTGCTAAGACGGCTGGAGGGCGGGGCCTGGCGCCTGGAGGAGGAGCTGGAACAGGTAGAAGGCGGAGCCTCGGGCTCGGAGACCGAGGGGCTGGGAGCCCAGGCGCTGGGGGCGGGGCTTCAGGTGGTGAGTGGCGTGGCTCCAGTTCAGGAGGAGTCTAGTCTTGCTGAGGGCGGGGCTGCAGGGCCGGGGGCGGGGTCACGCCCCCTGAAGGGCGGGGCCAAGGAACCAGGCGAAGGGCTAAGCCCTAGTCGTGGCCCGGGGCGTCCACGCGGGGGCGGTCTCCGTGGTGGCCGAGCCTGGGGGCGCGGCAGACCGAGAACTGCCCCGGGAGAGGTGGTGTGGGTGGAGCGAGCTGCACAGCCCGCCGACTCGGAGCCTGTCTGGGTACCCCGGAGGCCCCCGAGAGCTCAGAGCTGGGGCGGGGCCCCGGCAGGAGGAGGCACTGGGCCCGGCTGGGGGGTACCTCCGGAGGACCGGGGGTCTCCAGAGCCTCCTAGCGGAGATGTGTGGGTGCCTCGGGGCCGGCCCCCTGCAGCTGCCGCAGAGGTGTGGGTGTGTTGGACTGGGGGCAGCTGGGTGTGGCGTGAATGGGGTCGCCCGGTCGGGGCAAATCCAGTGCAATCAGATAGGGTCTGGACTTTGCGTAAAGGGACTGGTGGGAATTGATGAGAAGAGAAGGGGACCGGGAGGGAGGGAAGGTCTGGTAGTGAGCGAAGGGGCGGGGCCCTGGCTGCTGTGGCCTCCCCTGACCCCCTCCCCTCGCTGCTGGGGTCCTCAGCCAAGCCCCCTTCTCACTGGACTGGTAAGTGTGGCCGCGGAGCCCAGGGGAGAGGGTGGTGCCTCGGGACAGGGGATTCCCCAGGGGCAGGCAAGTTACAATGAGGGTGGTATCCTTTGAGTAGCGGCGACTGGAGTTCCGTGACCTCCCTACCCTTCTCCCTTTTCGGCCGGTCGGGGTCTGTTTCCACAGAGACATGAGGTTGAGCTGGGTCCTGACTGTACTGTCCATCTGCCTGGGCGCCCTGGCCACAGTCGCTGGGGCCGAGGGCAAAAGGAAGCTGCAGATCGGGGTGAAGAAACGGGTGGACCACTGTCCCATCAAGTCACGAAAGGGAGATGTCTTGCACATGCACTACACGGTAGGTTTGGGGGCATAACTTCTGGGGGTAGAGGGGTTTATGGGGATTGGAAAAGAGTTGGACATCTTGTTCCTTTCTCTACATGTCCTTTACAATTTCCTCCCCAGTTGGGTCTTAGCAGGCTGTGACTGCTTCCTGAGCTACTGATTCCCCTCAAGGAACACGAGCACCTGTGCTCCAGGGACCAGCTTGATGGGAACATTGAGGGGGGCGTTCTGGAATGGTCACCTCTCCTTATTAGCTTTGCCATGGTCCCACAGGGGAAGCTGGAAGATGGGACAGAGTTTGACAGCAGCCTGCCCCAGAACCAGCCCTTTGTCTTCTCCCTGGGCACTGGCCAGGTCATCAAGGGCTGGGACCAGGGGCTGCTGGGGTAAGTCTGGAGCATGTTCCTGTGGTCCAGGAAATGAGGTGTGTGTGTGTGTGTGTGTGTGTGTGTGTGTGTGTGTGTGTGTGTGTGTGTGTGGGGGGGGGGTGTATGTTGGGGGGAGCCTAGAGGTAGGGCAGGGGGGCTGGGTGCCTGGGTGATGTCACATGCTGAGCATGCGGTCATCCTGCAGGATGTGTGAGGGGGAAAAGCGGAAGCTGGTGATCCCATCTGAACTGGGTAAGAGGCCCCCAGGGGGAAATGGGGAGGAGGTTGGATATGCCAGGAGAAGGGTTAAGGGTGGCTTCAGCCTCATTGGTCCCCACTCTATCTAGTCACTATAGTCTATGTTACTTTCTGAGCCTGGCTTGTGTCTAGCAGCCAGAACCAGGCAAGGCTTGCACTCAGCTGTAGTGTGACCCTCTGTCCTCTACCAGACCTTAGGTGCCCCACCCTTCTCCATCACACCCTCCATTTCTGGCCTTAAGGCAAGATAATCTTTATGTGAGCTAGAAGAGAGCCTGGCCACATCTGTTTTTGTATGTTTTTGACAGGGTATGGAGAGCGGGGAGCTCCCCCAAAGATCCCAGGTAACACTCTTAACCCCCTCCCCTCCCCAGCCATCCCTTTCCCAGGGGCCCAGGTCTCATGCTGACCCCACTTCTCCCTCTAGGTGGAGCAACCCTGGTGTTCGAGGTGGAGCTGCTCAAGATTGAGCGACGTTCAGAACTGTAGCGGGCTGCAGAGGGCCAGGGGCTCCTGTCAGGGACCAGACTGCTTAAAAACAAAAACCCTTAAAAATCCAACGATGGAGCCTGTGTTTTTTTTTGTATGTGGGTCCTGCAAGACTTAGATTAAGACTTTAGCTTTGAGGGCTGAGGACATAGCTCAGCAGTGGAGCAGTGCTCTAAGGTGTGCGGCCCTAAGTTCGATCCCCAGCATCAGAAGGAGAACACCAAACCAGAGCAGGGCTTCAGTGCCATGACTGCAGAGCCCTGGAGTCTTGGCTCAATGGCATGGAGACCCCTACTCAGCAGAGAAAAGGCATTCAGGACTGCCAAAGCTACGTCGTTGCTCCCCCATTTCCCTAGCCATTTGGAAGGCCTGATCTGGGAGCCAGCACTGGGTTATCACCATGGCTACGTGGCCCTCAGGAAGGCCTGTGGTCACCTGGGGAGTAGCTGAACTGGTAGCAATTGTAAAGCAGTATGCCCCCTAAAAGACCAGCCAAGCCCATTAGCTGCTCCAAAGGCATCTCCTGGCTTTATTAAAGGGCCCGAGACGCAGAATCATATAAAAACACAAAAAGTCCCATCAGTTTAATAACAATAAAAAACCCCAAAAGTGGAAAACTGAGGGCAAGGGAAGAGGCCCCTAGGCCAGGGGCACAGGGAGCCCTGCTCACGCACCAGGCCTGGCTACAGGGTCCCCCGGTATTGCTGTTGCTACGAGGTCAGGGGGCAGCGATTGTCCTGTGGGAGCCACCAGTCATCTGGGTCAGGACCCTTACTTCTTCTGGGGTGTGCTCAGCTTCTGCATGCCCCGGATTTTGTCCAGCAGGCCAGAGATGAAGGCCTAGATAGAAGGAGGCCATTAGGGAGGCAAGATCCCAAGAAGACAGTCAGCCCCCCATACTCCCAAGGTCAAGAAAACTTACCTCAGTGGGTTTGTAACAGTCAACTAACAGCTCCTGGTGGGGGGAGAACACAAGTGAGTTCTTAGGAACAGGGGCTCATGGTTCACCTATATCCTCTTCCAAGGGACTGGGGCCACTTAGGGACATAGCTGGGTAAGTTCCATCAGCCTCATTTTCCACAGACAGAAACTGACCCAGACCAAAGAAAGCCGGGCACCAGGGCCACACTTCCCCAAGGGGCAGTTCCTCCAGGCAGCCCTCCACCCGAGGACCTCAGTTTACCTTGACCCTGGCAGCCCGAGTGTCATCGCTTTCCATGTCCAGGAGCTCATCCACATCTATCTCCAGCTCTGGGATCTCCTCTTCCTAGGGCAGGGTGGGGGAGGAGGGACAGACAAGCAAGTGCCTAAGTCAGGAGAGGGGCTCCCTGCCTACCTCAACACCAGACCAGCCCTCTTTGCCCAGCAGATGACAGCTGCTCTGGGAAGGAAAACAGATCAGGCCTGTGCCAAGGCAAACTGCCCAATGGGGGGAGCTTCCTGTCCCTGGCAGTGGGCACCAGGGGCGCCAGACAAGGCCAGACAGCCAAGGCTGGGGACCTTGGGCTGCGAACTTAGCAGATGTGTCTTCCCAGCGTCCGGGTCCTCTAGCTCACCAGAGCACTAGTAGGACCAGCTGTCCCAGTTCATCAGCGCCCCCTCCCCCAAACACCTGTCAGCTTCCCGGGAGGGAGGAGGGACTGAGGGGTGAGGGGTCAGTGGGAAGGACCTATGCTTGGTAAAGGGGAAACAAAGAGCTCAGGCTTTAGGGAGGGGACCCCCCCCCCCTCCAGGGAACAGCTATCCCACTTGGAGCCAGCAGCATTCCAGGGCCAGGCTAGGGTAGGCAGCACAGGGCAAGCCCACTCCTCCACCCTACCCCCGGGGGCCTGAGTCACTATCTGAGCAAACAGGGAGTCATGGGGTGGAGAAAGCCGGCTAACCTGCCCCCACACCAAGATGGGAACTCCAGACTAACCCACTAGAACAACCCAGACCCTTTACAGCACTCTGAACAGCCACACTAGTGCTTTTCAACTAGTGTCTATGCTAGCGGGAACTAGACTCGCACTGCCAGCCCAGGGCTAGCCCCTGCCTCCCATCCCAGGCCAGGCTTCCGGAGGACACCAAGCTTGCCCTGGGGGAGTGGCATGAGGGTCGCAGGGTTCGAGGCAGTGTCCGGGAAGGCCGGAATGGCTGAGGTTAGGCAAAAAAAAAAAAGCGCACACACCCTGGGGGCGGGGAGTGAAAGAGGGGTGCGCTCGGCAGCCAAGCACCCATCGACTGCGCTGACAGGCTGACTGATGGTGGGGTTCCCGGGCAGACGCACTGAGGTCCGATTTTAGGGTGTCGGCGCGGGGTGAGGGACACACCTGGCAGTCGTAGAGGCGCGTGAGCTGCTCTAAGATCCACTCCTCCAGGTTGAGGCGCTTCCGTAGCTCTTTGCGGTCGTACTTGACGGTGACCTTCCCTTGGCGTCTCACCGGGCCGTCGTCGTCCGCGCCCCCCGGGCCTTCGCCTGCGGCCCCAGGGGGGCTCTGAAAGTAGACGCGAGGCCCAGCGCCACCACTGCCCGGCCCGGGGGCCGGGGCTGCCAACGCCGCGCCCCCCGCGGGGCCGCTGTC